CAGTACAACTGTAAAATCACAAAACTAATATTTATGACTCTCATTTATTCCTAATTTTCATACATTAAACCATCAAGCATTTATTTTGGCGGAAAACTGTGGAAAAAGCTTCTCTTTTGTTGACAACAGCTGAATTAGAAGCGCTTCTCATTACAAGTATGGGAAGATGTTGGTGCATGTTGTGATCCCAAAAACTGAAAACACATGCTTATGTGTAAAAGAACACAGTGTTGCTCCTCACTCTTAAGCATGCAGCACATATATTTATTTAATTAAACCATAGTCTTTGTGATTTGATAATCACACTAAGCCATATCTAGATTTCAGTTTTATTTCAGTTAATTGTGCTGCCTTATCTCATATGACAATAACTAGGTCAGTATATTACAGTAATGCAGAACTGGAACAAGAAAGACTGAAATCAGTCACACCCCAGCCCAACTGTTGTGTAAATGTGCTTCTCTGTGAGCTAGTGGGACAACGGTTGACAACTGTGTTTGTCATCACTGCAGTCACAGACATGCATTGTGTTGCACAAGGCTGAGAAGAGTATAATTGTTCCTTTTATGATAAGTTATGAAGTTGAGCTTGAGTTAAATTCTCTTGTTTGTGTGTGGAAGTATATCTATACGAGTGTGTGTGACAGTGCCCTGCACTGCAGTTGGAATAAATCGTTGTTGTGGGTCAGCAAGCAACTACTCTGAGTGCCCTGAACAGCAATGGAGTGGAACAATGTCACCGCACACTTTACAGCAGGGCCCATCCGTGCTAAAGGTGACATTTTCTTCTGCTGCCTCAGAGGTCAATTTCAACCTCTAGGCCACCTATTTGGACTATGGTTCCAATCTCGTTTTCCACAATTTAGTTGCACAATTAAATCTGCCATTTACGGTAGGAAGGAGCATTTAATGATGATATACTTGGAAAAGGCTTGTCCAGGGAGATTTTGTAGGCTGCTTTGCCTTGTGTTTGCTCTGCAATAGAGGCAAGAGGAGTCTAATGACAGCTGGGAGGGAGCTGCTCTCTGTGGCTCAGGGAATTCACAGTGCTGTCTGCCTGAGCTCAACTTACTACTCTCCTTGGACTACTCAGGTATACAGTCCTGCTCCACCAGCAAACTCCATTCACTTCCCGTTTATTGATAATGAAAGTTGCTGTGTGTCATTGCCTCGTGTCATTGGAGGTTGAATGGATTTAGATGTGTGTATCAACATAACATATGTCCTGTGCAGATCTGATTTGGTTCAACAGTTACTTTGGTAGCTGTCATGGAATTTTAAGCAGCGACAGCAGTCTTGTGAAGTGTGGCATGCTTATATAATGTATGTACAGTTATGGCCAAAAGTTTTGACAGTGACATAAATTTTGTGTTTTGCACAGTTTACTGCTTCTGTATTTGTAGATTATTTTTCCACATGTTTCTATGGTATACTGATAAACAATGATAAGAATATCATACGTTTTAAAGGCTTTTATTGGCAAAAAATATAATGAGTCAATATTTACAGTGTTGACCCTAGTTCTTCATAACCTCTGCAATTCGCTCTGGCATGCTGGATATTAGCTTCTGGGCCAAATTCTGACTGATGGCGATGCATTCTTGCCTTATTAGTTCTCGGAGTTGATCACAATTTGTGTGTTTCTGCTTGTCCACTCGCCTTCTGAGGACTGACCACAGGTTCTCTATGGGATTGAGATCCGGGGAGTTGCCTGGCCACGGATCCAAAATGTCAATTTAATGATCTCTGAGCCACTTCTGTATCACTTTGCTTTGTGACATGGTACTCCATCATGCTGGAAAATGCACGGATCATCACCAAATTGCTCATGGATCGTTGGAAGAAGTCACTCTTTTGCAGGATGTTTTGATACCATTCTTTATTCATTGCAGTGTTTTTGGGCAGAATTATGAGAGAGCCCACTACCTTGGTTATAAAACAACCCCACACATGGATGGTCTCAGGATGCTTCACTGTTGGCACATCACAGGACTCGTGGTAGCGTTGTCCTTTTCTTCTCCGAACAATCAATTGTCCAGATGTCCCAAACAGTTGGAAGGGAGCTTCATCAGAGAAAATAACTTTGCACTAGTCTTCTGCTGTCCAATCCTTGTACTTCCTGCAGAATTTCAGTCTGTCCTTGACATTTTTCTTGGAGAGAAGTGGCTTCTTTGCTGCCCTTCTTGACACCAGGCCGTTGTCCAAAAGTCTTGGCCTCACTGTGCGTGCAGATGCTCTCACACCAACCTGCTGCCATTCCTAAGCAAGCTCTGCACTGGTGGTGACACGATTCCGTAGCTGACTCCTCAGGAGGAGATGGTCCTGGCGCTTGTTGGACACTCTGGGATGTCCTGAAAATTTCTTTACTGCAGTCAAACCTCTCTCCTTGAAATTCTTGATGATCCGGTAAATGGTTATTTCAGGTGCAATATCCTTTGTATCAATTTCCTTGCATGTGAGGCCATTTTGATGCAACGCGATGATGGCTGCATGTGTTTCTTTGGAGGTAACCATTGCTAACAAGAACACAATGACTGGACGCACTTCTTCCCTCCTTTTATAGCAATCAGTCTGCTCTTACAATCTAATTAGTATGATAGTGATTAACCTGACTAGTACTCATTCACACTTCCACGTGTGCTGCTGATATGATTAGTCAATTAATGTTAGCTGGTCATTTTGTGAAAAAGTTAATTTTTTGGCCAATTAAACTTTTAGCAATTATTTAAAATGCATCTGATCACTCTACACAATAATCTAGAAACCATGTGAATGAACACCACAACAGCTTAAGCAGCAAACTTAGCAAAACACAAAATTTATGTCACTGCCAAAACTTTTGGCCATGACTGTATGTGTATATACTTCATATATACTATATGTATATTTAAAATAAATGCTGTTCTATAGAACTTTCTGTTCATCAGATAATACTAAAAAAAAAGTATCACTGTTGTTCTGCTGAAAACATAATTAAGCATTGTAATCACCTGTAATGCAGAACATGTGAGACTCCACCTATACAGTTGGGCAGAAAACAGTATGGATTCAGAGATAGTGTGCTGCTCATTGGATTACATTGCATTGTAACATTTGAAATGAGGGTTTCTGCAAGCTGTGACCAATTAAAGTTGAACAAAGCCAGCTCATCTGCTCGGCTCTGCTTTGTAGGTCAGTGAAATTGGCGGAAGTAATCATACAGCTCTCTCTCTCACCCTCTCCCTCGCATGCACACGCTCTCCAACTTCTTTTCGCCCTAGGCACAGCTTTCCATGGCATCTCTGTAAGTTTTGCCATGTGCACGACACATCCTGCTCATCTTGAGCGTTCATATGCTCATCCATGATGTCGTTCTGACGCTTCAATATTTTGAAAGTAAATCTGCTGCTATCTTCGCTGTACAACACTTGTTAAACATGAGAGCTGAACACATGCATAATTCATTTTCAGGCTTTTGAAGGATTCTGAATGAGCTTCTCATGGATAATAGGACACATGCTTGGCTTGGCTCACTGTATAGCTGGAACAAAAGCAAAGCGTATAGCTTGGTGCATAATGGCTGGTCATCTCTAGAAAAGTCAGATAGTTATGGGTGTGTATGTGCGACCTGCAGAAGCGTATGTGCCGGCTCGTGTTACAGCGATGACCCTGTAGGAAAAGACTGTCAGAGGATGCAGGCAGGAGTGATGGAGCTCGCTGTCTCCCTAATGGGCTGATTGCACAGGCTGTGGAGCCTCTGTTGCATTCCTCACGCTGACCTTCTGTCTGACCTGCCATGACATCAGTGTGGCAGCTCTGCTGTCTGCTTTACTCATTATCTCGCAGTAACATGGCCCAGGATAGATGGAGACCACTAAAACAATTAGACTTTATCAGATCCCGATAGACAGACCAAAACCATTGTAAGGGTCTCCACCACAACAATTTTGATCTGTGTTTTAAAGTAATGGTTTAGTTATGTGTTAGCATTCTATTAAAGGGATTTCCTGAGCTTCTATCAACAGCATTTGTGGCATAATGTTAATTTCTACAAAAATGATTTGATTTATTATCATATATAAGCTGTGACTTTAACCAGGTAGTGGTACGCCTCCCCCCAAAGGTATCCCTCAGAATTTTTCACTTTGACTAGTTTGCTCAAGAATGTTTCCAAATAACTTGTATACCTTCAACATACTTTGTCTATGCCAAGAAATGTAAGAAGATGTGATTTCAGTGGACTTGTATAATTTGCTTTGATTGAGGAAACATGAAAATATACAGTTACCATTTTTTCCCTTTGATTTAGTCATGTGAGTTTTGCATCAAATACTGTATAATTTTTGGTAATCGAGATCTGGAAGCAACAACAAATTTTTCCACTTGGGTGAGCAATTCATCTACAGCTTTTCTTGCGAATGAAATCACCCACATTCCAACAAACCAATGAGAATGCGCAACAGTGATGACGATTCTTGACAATTGAGCACAGGTGCCAAATCTGTGTATCTGTTTACCTAAATTCTTTCCTGACACAGATTTGCAGAAAATTACCTTCATTTGGCAAATAAATAATTTATAGACCGTTACGTACATGTTACCAACATTTTATTATGTAAGCTTTATGTTACATCTCAAATGACAAGGGAATGTATATTAATGTTTATATTAACTAGCCAGTCCTGAACTCATTCTTTCAAATGGCTTGGGTATGCAGAAGATTCACAGTTTATATGGACTGCAAATCCCTGATTTATATATGTATGTTTTATTTTCCGTGGTTGCCACAAATGCCATCAGTAGAGCATAAATTGTTTTGAACATAAAACATTACTTTATTAAGATTTCCTTTTTATTGTTATTAATTGTTGGGCTAATGAACTAGAGCAGTACGCTATTTTCCTCTGTATTCTCTAGTGATCTTGATTGACTTTCTATATGCTAACATGAAGCAAATATTCTAGTATATCTTTGTTAACATTTTACTGAGCATATCTTCATATTTTCTCTATTATCCCACAGGTTACCTTCACAAAACGGAAGTTTGGTTTGATGAAGAAAGCTTATGAGCTCAGCGTATTGTGTGACTGTGAGATTGCCCTGATCATATTCAACAGCTCGAACAAACTCTTTCAGTATGCCAGCACTGACATGGACAAAGTCCTACTTAAGTACACAGAATACAACGAACCCCATGAGAGCAGAACCAACTCTGACATTGTAGAGGTGAGTGTGGCCTACTTCTGATTTCTGTAACAAACAATCTTTAATGATTGAATGATTTTTCCATTTAATGTAATGTAATTTCAGTACTGTGGCCCCAAAAAGTAATTGGGACAATTTTGGACATTGACATCACATTTTAAAATGTTTGACGTTTATTGAATTAGATAATAGAACATCAAACCAAGTGACTTCTTCAAATATATTTGGATAGAGCTTTTCTTAGAAATATTTTTACGTCTTGTAACCATTTTTGCTTTACTTTTGCTTTTAACTGGCCCAAGGTGAATTTTTTTTAAATGTATGACATGAGTTACCCTCATGGTGTGATATTTTGTTATATAATGTCAAAGTCCAAATACTTTTTGGAGTCAATGTATTTTTTTGTTGTTGTATATTTTAATTTGACTACCTCTTTGTATCAAAGTATGAGACAATAATTCAATCAAAATATTTTGCCTTTTATCAATACCTAGTTCAGTAGTCAGTTTTAGGTTGAAGTTCAGAAATTATCTATGCACAAATGTTCAGCATGTGTGTCCCATAGTGCCATAGGGGACAAACTGATGTCTGGACAACACGTAACAGTTTCCTTCTCATCCGTGCTTAGACAGGGTTCAGGACATCTGCAGCTGCTGATAAGTCCAGAAGTACTTAAGTACCACATCTGACAAAGGGGTATAGATCATGTAACTGGACACATGGCACAGAACATCCTCTTTTTTTGTCCAACATTCATGTTTGCCTCAATTAGTGACTGTGTAAAAAAATTCAGTTTATACAATTCGAAAATTGTTTACTCATCATAAAGCCTATCCAGCTGGCCATATGAGTGCTGTGCAAACCAAAACCATACTACTGTAGTGTTCAGTACGCAGGAAGCAGGATTTGCCAGGCATGCACCGTCCTCATTTGTCAAAGCAACATTCCAGTTTTATAGGTCGAGACAATGTGTGAGCAAAGAATAAGAGAATTTATGACAGAATTAAAAATTTTGGGTGAAGTACCACTTTTACTTAAAATAAGTATTTTACTTAAAAAAAAAAATGGCATAAAAGAAGTCAGCTGGGCTGAGCTATCTTTAATTCATGCTGATGACACTGCTGGTGAATTACCTGCATGGCAGAGCTGCAGAAGAATGCACAGAGCCATCCATGAGGCTTGAGCTCTCCATCAGCGGCCCATCTGCTCTCTTCCCTGCACAGAGAGGGCCCTCACTTGCATTAAAAATGAATGGACACACTCTCCCCCCTTATGTAACAGCCACCCCATGTCAGCTTTACCTCTTTACAACAGCTTTTAAAGTGGATGCTGTGCCCCCTCTCAATGACTTTGTCTTTCACTCTGTGATTTTAAAGAATGGGAAATCACTGTGTTCTGTGTTGCAAAACATCCTCGTGCAGCACTAAAGAGCCTCTTTGCTGTTGTGGATTGCAATTCGATGTCTTTTTAGAGTGAAAAAATGTTAGCTAAATCCTGTAAGTGTCTTGTAGGACACCCACAAACACATGCAGAGACATGTACATCCGCACAATCAGGCATCAGCAAATTTCTTTCTGATGCTTACTGGTGTGGAATGCAAGCTGGTGGCAAGCTGCCGCTTTTCCCACGTCGGCCCTCCAGCCGCTGTGGAGGAGCCTGACCCAATGCATGAAGGACCCCAACAAAGCAGCCTTGTCCCTGCTCAGTGGGCCAGCATCTACTCATAGCTGCAGAGATCGCCCACAGCCAGATCTCTTTCTGTGACCATGATTCAGCCATAAAGAAGCAGAGCAGAAATAAGCTATTGAATCCTCCACTCTCTTTTCCTGCCCGGCTACATGTTGTATAGTGCTGGAGAAACCAGGAGCAGAGATATCAGCCCTGGACTGCCATCAGAAGTGCTTCTGACTTTGATTCTTGTTGAAGGCAGTATGACTCCATCGAGACACATGTAAAGATCTGTGCTGGAGTTATATAGTATACCGATATAGCCAAAGGATATCAGTACCCAGCAATATTGATTTTATCCATAAAAACACAGGCCTGTGTTCTCGTATTGTACAGTGTGACATTCGGAAAGAGGATACCATATAGGGATATTATTAATAAAACAGCATGTATAAGGAGGAAACAACCCAGAGCCCTTTAAGAAAAGTCAGTCCACTCTGTGGCCATCTAGGCAACACTTCGTACAATACAGGCACTCAAGTTCAGCTCCTGTTTAGTTCAATGGGGGTAAATTCTTCAAACCTTTTGACTTTTCATTTTAAAACGGTTTTGACAAAATGGTATTGTTAAGGTTGCTGCTGTATTTGCAATCATGCTACACTGAAAACTAAAAATTTTTTTTTTTCTAGTGATCAGATACAATTAGTCATTTTTATTATTATTTATTGGTATTGGCTAATGTTAGATATTTAATTGTACAATTATTTCATTTTTTACATTTGTACATAAAATTAAAACATTAATGATTGACACTTAATCTTTAGCAAAAAAAACAAAAAATTATATATACATGTGTATATATATATATATTCACACCGTGTACATAATAATGTTCTGATGTAACTGTAGCATTTAAAACAGCTTATTTTAGTGTTTTATTGATTTAGTTTATACAAAATAGTACATAATTTTAAAGGGGTCGTGGCCCTTTTTTATTATTTTGTACTGTTCTCTGAGGTCCATTTATAATGTTATCAGGTTTTTTACATCAAAAAACATTATAATTTAGAAGTAATAGGCTATTTTTCTGTCATGTTTTGACGCCCCTCATCGGGACACTCCGTTTGAATAGGTGTGGTGGATTGTAGACTCGGAAGTAAATGCCCACTGCTATGATTGGCTAACAGCTGTGTATGTTTGACAGCCTACATCCTTCATAGATGGATGCTGCTGTGATTTAGGTTAAAAATGCATAAATACTCAGTACATATCAAACGATCTGTAATAAAAGACAAAGCAATAGTGACCACGTAATAAAAAACAGTTACACTTGTGTGGTGCGACATTACTGTCGGATCCAATATAGTCGCACAACATCGTCTTTTAGTATCAATCTTTCTGAAAATCCTGTGTTGAATTGTGCCTTGTTTGTAAATGAATCCACTGTAAAATGAAGTGAAAAAGGACCAAGTTCTTACGAATGCAAGCTGGTGGCAAGCTGCCGCTTTTCCCACGTCGGCCCTCCAGCCGCTGTGGAGGAGCCTGACCCAATGCATGAAGGACCCCAACAAAGCAGCCTTGTCCCTGCTCAGTGGGCCAGCATCTACTCATAGCTGCAGAGATCGCCCACAGCCAGATCTCTTTCTGTGACCATGATTCAGCCATAAAGAAGCAGAGCAGAAATAAGCTATTGAATCCTCCACTCTCTTTTCCTGCCCGGCTACATGTTGTATAGTGCTGGAGAAACCAGGAGCAGAGATATCAGCCCTGGACTGCCATCAGAAGTGCTTCTGACTTTGATTCTTGTTGAAGGCAGTATGACTCCATCGAGACACATGTAAAGATCTGTGCTGGAGTTATATAGTATACCGATATAGCCAAAGGATATCAGTACCCAGCAATATTGATTTTATCCATAAAAACACAGGCCTGTGTTCTCGTATTGTACAGTGTGACATTCGGAAAGAGGATACCATATAGGGATATTATTAATAAAACAGCATGTATAAGGAGGAAACAACCCAGAGCGCTTTAAGAAAAGACAGTCCACTCTGTGGCCATCTAGGCAACACTTCGTACAATACAGGCACTCAAGTTCAGCTCCTGTTTAGTTCAATGGGGGTAAATTCTTCAAACCTTTTGACTTTTCATTTTAAAACGGTTTTGACAAAATGGTATTGTTAAGGTTGCTGCTGTATTTGCAATCATGCTACACTGAAAACTAAAAATTTTTTTTTTTCTAGTGATCAGATACAATTAGTCAATTATTTATTTATTTATTGGTATTGGCTAATGTTAGATATTTAATTGTACAATTATTTCATTTTTTACATTTGTACATAAAATTAAAACATTAATGATTGACACTTAATCTTTAGCAAAAAAAACAAAAAATTATATATACATGTGTATATATATATATATTCACACCGTGTACATAATAATGTTCTGATGTAACTGTAGCATTTAAAACAGCTTATTTTAGTGTTTTATTGATTTAGTTTATACAAAATAGTACATAATTTTAAAGGGGTCGTGGCCCTTTTTTATTATTTTGTACTGTTCTCTGAGGTCCATTTATAATGTTATCAGGTTTTTTACATCAAAAAACATTATAATTTAGAAGTAATAGGCTATTTTTCTGTCATGTTTTGACGCCCCTCATCGGGACACTCCGTTTGAATAGGTGTGGTGGATTGTAGACTCGGAAGTAAATGCCCACTGCTATGATTGGCTAACAGCTGTGTATGTTTGACAGCCTACATCCTTCATAGATGGATGCTGCTGTGATTTAGGTTAAAAATGCATAAATACTCAGTACATATCAAACGATCTGTAATAAAAGACAAAGCAATAGTGACCACGTAATAAAAAACAGTTACACTTGTGTGGTGCGACATTACTGTCGGATCCAATATAGTCGCACAACATCGTCTTTTAGTATCAATCTTTCTGAAAATCCTGTGTTGAATTGTGCCTTGTTTGTAAATGAATCCACTGTAAAATGAAGTGAAAAAGGACCAAGTTCTTACTGACGCAGTCTGGAACTTCATTAAAAATAAAGTTCATCCACTCTTTCCTAATGTTGGGATCAGAAGGTAGGCAATGCAAAGACTGTGTTTTTCCACAACTTGGAACTGTACAGCTTCTTATTGTCTGCAGAGCCATCTTTATTGTTTGATTTCTGCATAGACCTGTGTTTGCCTCTTTTGTTATTTACACTTCATGCGCGAATCAGTGGGCGGGGCTAAACAGGCAGTGATGTTGAAGCAGGCGTTGATCTTCTTCTGCGGAGGTGGGGTTTAGCCACACTATTACACCGTAAAGTGGCACATTCCACAACCTGTCGTTTT